TGAAAGATGGCTTGTGTCTGCAATGTAATTTTATTTTAGGTGTCTGCCCACACCTAAAAAGAAGTCTGCACTCAAGGGTATAACTACATGGGTAAGGGGGTGAAAAAAAATAAGAGCATTGCCCTCCATAAAAATCTCACCCTTCTCAATGTCTAGCATCTAGAAAGTGAGACACTGAAAAGCATTCACACCTAGAATTTTTGTATTAGCTGTGTTTGAATTCCTTTGAGAACTGTTTCTGTCCCATTGCTTTGATGACTAAATTGTTTTTCTAAACATTCAACTGAAAATTTAAGTTTCAATCATGCTATTAATCTGTGGACTGAAGAAAAAGATAAGTGAATGTGCACAAAATTATAATTTGAGAGGCCACATACTCCTTGAGCCTACTCTCCTGTAGCTACATCCTTAGCTATATCCAAACTGTATGTTTGGATATAGCTAAACCCTCTCCCTTGTATAATCTTAAGATATAAATATACTTGAAAGCTTATGAAATCAATGGGCACTTGCCTTGCAAGCAAATCTTCAGGGGAATGAGCTGTATGCCAGGCTGAAACCTTTCACTGACCTCAGCATTTATGACTCTAATTGTCTAATCAATAGGAGAGCATTTTAATCAAAGGAAGAATGAATTTAAATCAGCGGGACCTGCAATTATTTTATTAGTCTCCGTTAGCCTGCTGGGATTCTAGATCTGAAATGAAAAAAAGGTCTTTGTATGCTGATCTAGTCCAAACTGTGTTCTTGCAGTTTAAAATGATATATTTTGAGTATCACTTATCCAAAATGCTTGTGGGCCAGAAGAATTTTGGATTTTTAAAATAACGTACATGTATTTGCATATATCTTTATCTTGGAGACTAGCCGTCCCCTGCCACGTGTTGCTGTGGCCCAGTCTGGTGATCTGGAAAATAAAGTAATGAGAAAGTGTTGGTTTCTAATATATGTAATTTCTTGATGCTTGTGGAAAACTGTATTTTTGTTGTTTCTTTGTCAGTGTTGATGTGGAGAGTGTCTGGTTTGCCTACTCTGGAATATGCAACATATCATAGTCCTTCTTTAAGGGTCTCTTTCAAATCTATACTATATCTGTGTGTGTGAGAGAGAATCATATCTATCTATCTATATTTATGACTGGATGGCTCTTTGTCAGGAGGGGGTTCTGTGTGGGGAGTTTGCCCCATTTCTGTCATTTGTGGGTTTCAGAATGCTCTTTAATTGTAGTGAACTATAAATCCCAGCAATTACAACTCCCAAATGTCAAAGTCTATTTCCCCCAAACCCCACTAGTGTTTACATTTGGGTATATTGAGAATTTGTGCCAAGTTTGGTCCAGATCCATCATTGTTTGAGTCCACAGTGCTCTCTGGATGTAGGTGAACTACAACTCCCAAAACTCAAGGTCAATGCACACCAAGCCCTTCCAGTATTTTCTCTTGGTCATGGGAGTTCTGTGTGCCATGTTTGGTTCAATTCCATCATTGGTGGAGTTCAGAATGCTCTTTGATTGTAGGTGAACTATAAATCCCAGCAACTACAACTCCCAAATGTCAAGGTCTATTTCCCTTAAACTCCATCTGTGTTCATATTTGGGCATATGGAATATTCGTGCCAAGTTTGGTCCAGATCCATCATTGTTTGAGTCCACAGTGCTCTCTGGATGTGGGTGAACTACAATTCCCAAACTCAAGGTCAATGTCCACCAAACCCTTCCAGTTTTTTCTGTTGGTCATGGGAGCCCTGTGTGCTAAGTTTGGCCCAATTCCATCATTGGTGGAGTTCAGAATGCTCTTTGATTGTAGGTAAACTATAAATCCCAGCAACGACAATTCCCAAATGACAAAATCAATTTTTTTTGAGTGGAGGACATACATTGGACTGTTAGGTGTCTTGTGTCCAAATTTGGTGTCAATTCCCCCAGTGGTTTTTGAGTTCTGATGGTAGCACGAACTAACATTACATTTTTATTTATATAGATGATGATGATGATGATGATGATGATGATGATGATGATGATGATTATCATCTATGGGAAGCATCGTCAGAGGTTGTGAGGTCTCTGAGGATGCTTGCATAGTTTCCTAGTTCCAACCAGGCCCGTAGCCAGGATTTTGATTCGGGGGGGGGGGGAGCTGAGTTTGTTTCGGGGGGGGGGGGGGGCTGAGTCTGAGTGAAAGAGGGTCTATCCTAGCAAACGCAAACCTTTTGTATCATCACCCCAATACCCCCATGCATATGGGATATATGGTGATCAGATCATGATATGAATAAACATAACAGTTTAAATAATGCACCAGTAAGGCCTTTTCGCGAACCACCATGAGAATTTCGGGGGGGGGGGCTGAAGCCCCCCAAGCCCCTCCCCCCCGGCTACATGGCACACAGGACTCCCACGAACAACAGAAAACACTGGAAGGGTTTGGTGGGCATTGACCTTGAGTTTGGGAGTTGTAGTTCACCTACATCCAGAGAGCACTGTGGATTCAAACAATGATGGATCTGGACCAAACTTGGCACAAATACTCACTCAAAATGCCCAAATATGAACAGAGATGGAGTTTGGGGAAAATAGACCTTGACATTTGGGAGTTGTAGTCACTGGGATTCACAGTTCACCTACAATCAAAGAGCATTCTGAACCCCACCAACGACAAAATTGGGGCAAACTTCCCACACAGAACCCCCATGACCAACAGAAAATATTTAAGGCCATCCAATCCAACTCCCTTCATCAGGGCAAGAAAATGTAATCAAAGTCCTCCTGACAAAGAGACATCCAGCCATAGAGATAGATAGATAATGATAGATAGATAGATAGATAGATAGATATGATTCACACACAGAGCTCATTGTTTCTCTCTCAGGATTGTTGAAAGGATTCTTTGAATAGGGATATTCTACTTAGGCCTGTGCGATTTGGTTCGTTAATTCGTTAATTCGTTAATAATTCGTTAATTTTACCATTTCCGAAGCGATATTGAAACAAATCTCCAAACCCGGAAGGGTTTATAAATATCGAACCAGCAGCCCCCATAGTATTTACGAGCCTCCGCTCGTTTCGTTAATGGGGTGGAGGCTGCTGGAGTGCTGGTGCATGGGAGCCAATCCGGCGCTCCCAAGCAGTGCACCATGGGTCCGTGGCTGTCTCTTTTTGATTGGCCGGCGAGCCCTTTCAAAGCGGCTCCGCGCGGCCCGTAGCTTGCTGCAGAGGGCGAGGGAGTTTGCATTGGGTTGGCTTGGCAATGGCTGCTAGCAACTCGGATTGGATTCATTCCTTGCTGCTGTGAGTGCTGCTTGCTTCATTTGCTGTCTCTTGCCTGTGTTTGGTCCACATTTGGGCCATTTTTTGGTTAATTTTCCATTTTAAAATATTTTTTAATATTATTTTAATATTATTTTTTAATATTATTTTAATATTATTCTTAAAAAATATTCTAAAAAAGAAAAGACTCTTCTGTTGGTGTGTGCTCTCATTTGCTGTATCCTGCCTGTGTTTGGTCCATTTTTTGGTTAATTTTCCATTTTAAAATATTTTTTATTTTAATATTATTTTTAATATTATTTTAATATTATTTTTTAATATTATTTTAATATTATTCTTAAAAAATATTCTAAAAAAGAAAAGACTCTTCTGTTGGTGTGTGCTCTCATTTGCTGTATCCTGCCTGTGTTTGGTCATTTTTGGTTAATTTTCCATTTTAAAATATTTTTTAATATTATTTTAATATTATTTTTTAATATTATTTTAATATTATTCTTAAAAAATATTCTAAAAAAGAAAAGACTCTTCTGTTGGTGTGTGCTCTCATTTGCTGTATCCTGCCTGTGTTTGGTCATTTTTTGGTTAATTTTCCATTTTAAAATATTTTTAATATTATTTTAATATTATTTTTTAATATTATTTTAATATTCTTAAAAAATATTCTAAAAAAGAAAAGACTCTTCTGTTGGTGTGTGCTCTCATTTGCTGTCTCCTGCCTGTGTTTGGTCCACATTTGGGCCATTTTTTGGTTAATTTTCCATTTTAAAATATTTTTTAATATTATTTTAATATTATTCTTAAAAAATACAAAAAATATTATAAAAATTCGTTAATATTTACAAAACTTCGTAAATACCAAAACTTTTTTGGAAAGTTTTGTAATTATTTTAAATATCGAAACAAAAAAACACCCCAATTACAAATCGATTTTAGAACCAAATTTTTTCTTGATCAAACAGGCCTAAATAGATATGATTCACACACACACAGATGTAGTATCATAGATTTGAAAGGGACCCCTGAAGAAGGACAATTATATCTTGCATGTTCCAGAGTGGGCAAACCAGACACTCTCCACATCAACACAGGCAAAGAAACAGCAAGAAATACTGTTTACCCACAAGCAGAAAGAAATTACATATATTAGAAACCAATACTTTCTCATTACTTTATTTTCCGGATTAACAGACTGGGCCACAGCAACACGTGGCAGGGGACAGCTAGTAAATGATAAATTGACATGTAGGTTAAGAGTCAGGAAAGGGATATGGAAGGAAAACGATTTTGATAAAGTTTGGGGAAAATGTATTGAGAACGGCTTAAAAGAAGTAGACGGGAAATTACCTCCACAAGAAGAAATGGTATTTTGGAAAGAGAATGCAAATTGAAGTGGCTCAGAAAGGGAGGGGGGCACAGAGGTGGTGGTGGGGAAAGTATACAAGATATATATACATTTTGGTTGATGTAATGAATTGAGGATGGAATATAAGATTATTGAAGGTATTGATGTATTGATGTATTCTAAGAAAACCAATAAAAATATTTTTTTCAAAAAAAGCCTTCCACAATACACTGCCTTAGCTCTTTCTGCCAACCAGGAGAGCAGGGCACGTGGATGCAGGGAACTGGGAGCAGTTCCTCTCGCCTCCAGTCTGAACTTGGCCAGGGAATGAATGCAGCAAGCTGACATTCCGCTCCACTCCCCCCCCCCCCCCCCCCCCCCCCCCCCCCGCCTTTTCCCTTTCTCTGCCGGTCGGCATCACTCTCTGCTGTGGGTGGATCTCTGGCAACTTGGTTCCTCGAAGCAAAGGGAGAGCGGCGAGGCTGGAGCCAGAGGAGGCTCTTTTTGGCAAGTCCCAGCAAAGCAGGGTCTGAGCAGTTGTAGAGAGCAGCAGAGGGAAGGGCTGCTTGCTTTCCCCCTCCTCCCTTCCATCCCTCTCGCCTCTGATTGCCTTGCCCGGGAGGCAGAGCGTGGCAGCGGAGGTCTCCCTTGAACTGAGACGCTTTTGCCTGTCTCTTCCGTGGCATTTCTCACGCGAGGAACATGACTGCTTCCCGGGAGGATCCCCTTGCCTTTCCCCCGAGGGATTTCTCCTTATTCCCTTGCTAAAAGCGAGAGTGGAAGAGTGGAAAAGTGGAACTTGGGAGGTGGATTGAGTCTCCCCATCGCAAGAGGCAGAATGGCAAGGTGGGACCTCTTCCTCCTGGCACTCTTGGGCGTCCTTCTCCCATCATGGCCTGGCTGCCAGCCCAGCGACACCAGCCAACCCCGGTTGCGCCTATCCCACAAAGGTAAGCCGTTGGAGCTCTCCTCCTCAGTGACACTTCTTTGGAAAGCTTTGGTGTCTGTTCTCTCCTTTCCCACACGTGGACTTGGACTGCACCACCCCAGCTAGGAATTCCAGAAAGCTCAAGTGTTTGTACTTTAGCAAAGCATGTCTTCTGGCTGTTTATGCAGAAACTAAGGTGAAGATGCCCAAGATAGGCTTGAATTGTATCAAACTAGCATTTCCTAGATATGAGGACTTGTGTTTCATGGCTTTTCTTGTTTCTGCTGCTTTTCTATGGTCTATATCAGTGTTTCTCAACCTGGGGGTCGGGACCCCTGAGGGGGACGTGAGGGGTGTCAGAGGGGTCACCAAAAACACAGTATTTTCTGATGGTTATGGGAATTCCATGTGGGAAGTTTGAGCCAATTCTATCATTGGTGGAGTTCAGAATGTTCTTTGATTGTAACAAACTATAAATCCCAGCAAGTACAACTCCCAAATGTCAAGGTCTATTTTCTCCAGACTCCACCAGTATTCACATTTGGGCTTATTGAATATTCGTGCCAAGTTTGGTCCAGATCCATCATTGCATGAATCCACAGCACTCCTCTGGATGTAGGTGAACTACAACTCCCAAACTCAAGGTCAATGCCCACCAAACCCTTCCACTATTTTCAGTTGGTCATGGGAGTTCTGTGTGCCAAATTTGCTTCAATTCCATCGTTGGTTGAGTTCAGAATGCTCTTTGATTATAGGTGAACTATAAATCCCAGCAATTACAACTCCCAAATTACAAAATCAACCCCCCCCCCCCACACACACACACACACTAGCATTCACATTTGGGCATATTGGGTATTCGTGCTCAATTTAGTCCAGTGACTGCATATTGGATATTTACATTATGATTTATAACAGTAGTAAAATGACAGGTATCAAGTTGCAATGAAAACAATATTATGGTTGGGGGTCACCACATTAAGGGGTCACGGCATTAGCAAGGTTGAGAACCACTGCTCTATGGGGAGGAAGAAATTTTTTTTGAGAAACTGGAAGTCGCTTCTGGTGTGAGAGAATTGGCCATCTGCAAGGATGTTGCCCAGGGGATGTTTTGATGTTTTATCATCCTTGTGGGAGGCTTCTCTCATGTCCCGACATGAGGAGCCGGAGCTGACAGAGGGAGCTCATCAGCACTCTCTCCGGATTCGAACCTGCGACCTGTCGATCTTCAGTCCTGCCAGCACAGGGGTTTAACCCACTGCGCCACCGGGAGGATGATGATGATGATAATGATGATAATTCTGGCAATCTGACTCTTGAAAGCATAGGTATCTGGTGAGAACCTGGCACCCTCCAAAAGGATTTACCTACATTTCTTATCCTCCCTGCCCAGCATGTCAGGAGGGCTCCAAGTTCAGGAAGATGTTCTATGATTATAATTATTGCTATAATTATATATATATATATATATATATATATATATACACACACACACACACACACACACACACACACACACACACACACATATATACATATATATATTGTCGTGTCAGGAGTGATTCCTGGTGTGAGAGAATTGGCCGTCTGCAAGGACATTGCCCAGGGGACGCCCCGATGATTTTATGTTTTATCATCCTTGTGGGAGGCTTCTCTCATGTCCCCACATGAGGAGCTGGAGCTGATAAAGGGAAGTCATCCGCCTCTCCCCGGATTCGAACCTGCAACCTATCGGTCTTCAGTCCTGCCAGCACAGGGGTTTAACCCACTGCGCCACCGGGGGCTCCCATAATAATAATAATAATAATAATAATAATAATAATAATAATAATAATGTGGACTTACCTTATTGTGTTTCAAATAATAATAATAATAATAATAATAATAATAATAATAAACTCTTGGGAAGTGTTTGACTTGCGATTTTGTGATACAAAATCCAGCATATACATCTCATTTGCTGTGTCATACTGTGTTTTTGCATCAATAAAATTATTATTATTATTATTATTGTCGTGTCAGGAATGACTTGAGAAACTGCAAGTCATTTGTGGTGTGAGAGAATTGGCCGTCTGCAAGGACGTTGCCCAGGGGACGCCTGGATGATTTGATGTTTTTATCATCCTTGTGGGAGGCTTCTCTCATGTCCCCGCATGAGGAGCTGGAGCTGACAGAGGGAGCTCATCCACCTCTCCCTGAATTCGAACCTGTGACCTGTCGGTCTTCAGTCCTGCCGGAACAGGGATTTAACCCACTGCGCCACCGGGGGCTCCCATAATAATAATAATAATAATAATAATAATAATAATAATAATAATAATAATAATGTGGACTTACCTTGTTGTGTTTCAAATAATAATAACAATAATAATAATAATAATAATAATAATAATAAACTCTTGGAAAGTGTTTGACTTGCGATTTTGTGATACAAAATCCAGCATATACGTCTCGTTTGCTGCGTCATGCTGTGTTTTTGCATCAATAAAAATTATTATTATTATGGAACATCTTCTTGAACTTATATAAATAATATATAATATATACATAATATAAATAATAATTAAATAAATATAATAATGGCCTCTTGCCCTCACAATCATGTTAAAAAACCAAGTATGGATGTTGCAATCCCAGGCAACAGTAGAATTGAAGAGAAACAACTAGAAAAGCTGACACGATAAAAGGATTTAAAAATCAAACTGCAAAGACTCTGGCACAAGCCAATAAAGGTAGTCCCAGTGGTGATTGGCACACTGGGTGCAGTGCCTAAGGACCTTGGCCTGCACTTAAACACAATTGGCGCTGACTAAATTACTATCTGTCAGCTGCAAAAAGCCACCCTACTGGGATCTGCACGCATTATTTGCCGATACATCACACAATCTTAGACATATGGGGAGTGTCCGATGTGTGATCCAATACAACAGCCAGCATAATGATCTTGTTTGCTGTGTACTATTTTGTCATGTCAGGAGCGACTTCAGAAACTGCAAGTCACTTCTGGTGTGAGAGAATTGGCCGTCTGCAAGGATGTTGCCCAGATGTTTTGATGTTTTATCATCCTTGTGGGAGGCTTCTCTCATGTCCCCAAATGGAGAGCTGGAGCTGATAGAGGGAGCTCTCCCCGGATTCGAACCTGCGACCTGTCAGTCTTCAGTGTTGCCAGCACAGGGGTTTAAACCACTGCGCCACTGGGGGCTGTGTTATGTTTCTAATAATAATAATGGCAACTTGACCCTTGAAAGTATAGGTACCCTGTGACAACCTGACACTGTACATCATCCCTGTCCAGTATGTCAGGAAAACTCCAAGTTCAGGAAGATGTTCTATAATAATTATTATTTTACTGACACAAAACACAGTATGACACAGCAAATGAGATATATATGCTGGATCACAAAATCACAAGATGAACACTTCTCAAGTGTTTAGGACTGTGTGATATCATCACCATCACCATCACCATCATCACTAAGGCAATCTGACCCTTGAAAGCATAGGTAGCCGGTGACAACTTGATGCCATCTGAAAATGATTAAACTACATTTATTATTATCTCCGTCCAGCATGTCAGAAGGGCTCCAAGTTCAGTAAGATGTTCTATGATAATGATAGATCAATTTGTTTATTGATTAGTCTTCTGACCATATCAACAATAAGAGACAAGTATACAAAGACACAATAAACACAAATTCCTATCCTAACACTCTTGTAATAGTTAGCTAAAATACATTTAGGTACTTAAAACTTGATTAAATAAAAAAGTTTGGCAAAATGGGATTAAATTAAATTACAAAATTATTTTAAATAGTAGACTCCATGACAGGAGTCCCCATTTTGTGTTGTTATTGTTGCTATTATTGATTCTTGTAATCTGACCCTTGAAAGCCTGATGACAACCAGGCACCATCCAAAAGGGTTTAACCATATTTTTCAGCATCCCTGTCAAGCATGTCAGGAGGTCTCCAAGTCCAGGAAAATGTTCAACAACAACAACAACAACAACAATAATAATTCTGGCAATTTGACCCTTGAAAGCATAGGTATATAGTGACAACCAAAAGTGGTTAACTACACCCCCCAAAAGTGGTTAACTACATTTCTCATCATCCCTATCCAGCATGCCAGGAGGACTTCAAGCTAAGGAGGATATTCTATAATATTATTGACTAGCCGTCCCCTGCCACGCGTTGCTGTGGCCCAGCCTGGTGATCTGGAAAATAAACTAATGAGAAAGTGTTGGTTTCTAATATATGTGATTTCTTTATGCTTGTAGGTAAACAGTATTTCTTGTTGTTTCTTTGTCAGTGTTGATGTGAAGAGTGTCTGGTTTGCCCATTCTGGAATATGCAACATATCATAGTCCTTCTTTAGGGGTCCCTTTCAAATATATGATACTATGTGTGTGTGTGTGTGAATCATCTCTCTCTCTCTCTCTCTCTCTCTCTCTCTGTCTATCTATCTATCTATCTAATCTATGGCAGGATGGCTCTTTGTCAGGAGAGCTGTGATCACATTTTCTTGCCCTGGTGAAGAGAGTTGGACTGGATGGCCTTAAGTATTTTCTGTTGGTCATGGGGGTTCTGTGTAGGAAATTTGCCCCAGTTCTGTCATTGGTGGAGTTCAGATTGCTCTTTGATTGTAGGTGAACTATAAATCCCAGTAACTACAAATGCCAAATGTCAAGGTCTATTTCCCTCAAACTCCATTCATATTTGTGCCAAGTTTGGTCCAGATCCATCATTGTTTGAGTCCACAGTGCTCTCTGGATGTAGGTAAACTACAACTCTTAAACTGAAGGTCAATGCCCACCAAACTCTTCTAGTGTTTTCTGTTGGTCATGGGAGAACTGTGTGCCAAGTTTGGTTCAATTCCATCGTTGGTGGGGTTCAGAATGCTCTTTGATTGTAAGTGAACTATAAATCCCAGCAACTACAACTCCCAAATGATGAAATCAAGTTTTTGAGTGAAGGACATACATTGGGTTGTATGTGTCCAAATTTGGTGTCAATTCGTCCA